GTACCGTTATATGGGGGCTATACGAAGACGTGGACCTGCACAGACAATTTTCTGTCATAGGCTGTAGTATCCATAATGAACTTCAAATGCCAAATTTGAAACAATTCCGGTGAATAATGTCGCTTAAATCATCAAAATACCGAATATCGGGAGGTACCGTTATATGGGGGCTATACGAAGACGTGGACCTGCCCAGATAATTTTCTGTCATAGGCTGTAGTATGCATTAGGAATTTCAAATACCAAAGTTGAAACAATTCCGGTGAATAATGTCGCAAAAATCATCAAACTACCGAATATCGGGAGGTACCGTTATATGGGGGCCATATGAAAACGTGGACCTACATGGTCCATTTACGAACTTAACCTGCCTACTGGAAAAAAAACACGTGTTCAAAATTTTAGCCTTCTATCTCAATTCGTTCGAAAGATAGCGTGATTACAACAGACAGACAGACGGACAGACAGTTAATATACCCTCCATAGTATGGTGGAGGGTATAAAAAATGTAAAAATTATGGCGTTTGACTTTCTTGCAGTTTTTTATCTCTCCTGGACCTATATGAATTATTTTCTTATAGGTGGGGGTAGTCATTACGAACTCCCAATACCAACTTTGAAACAGTTCCTTTGAACAATGTTGCGAAAATCGTATGGAACCTATGCAAACTTGGACTTTTGTTGATAACTTTCAGTCAGTAAATAAAAATTATCAAAGGAATGAAAATCTTAATATAGCCTCAACAGATTGAAGATCTTGTTTTGAGTTGAAATATGCGCAATATTATATTGCAAATATATATGTGGTCATTTAAGTGTAGTGGTATGAGGTATCATATGGTATATTATTTACAAAAATATATATTATTTTCAATATTTTCCCTTACCAATTGTTTTTTTTTACTTGATAACCCCCTTTACGATGCAAGTAAATATTTACAGACAGTTTGTGTTGTTATTTCCCACCAAAATTATCTCACGCTTTGACATCAGTTGTTCTTATTTTTCTGAAAGAAATGAATGAAAACAAAATATTAAAAAAAAAAATTCAATTTCAAATTTCACTTTTTCTATCTAAATATTCGAAAAAAAAATATAAGAAAAAAACGAAAACTATTCAATCGTCTAATGATCGAAAACAAACCCTTTGTTTGAACAGCATCAAACAAAGGGACATGTCTCAAAGACATGCATAAATTTGCATATACGACCCTGTAGAAAATGAAGATGATGCTTACAAAGAAAAGAAGAGTCCAGGCTAATGGTAAGGAAGCCACCACCTTTCCATTAGGTACAAACATAGATATTAATTTTTGGGTAGAAAAATAGCCCTGAGGCTGTGCAGCCGTCAAAGGATTTATCTATTCCGTCTAGTTTGCTATGAAAAATGACTTTCGTTTTTTTATTTGAAATATTTGTTTAGAATCCTTTTTTTGGGTACAACTTTCATTTTTTTTTTTTAGAAAAATTGATTATTCTAATGAGGGTTATTCCTTGATGGCAAATTGACATTGGAAGAATCAAGCAAGCACTTTTTTAATATCATGGGAAAGAAAATATAAAGATTTTTTTAAAGAATAAAATTATAAAAGCATGAGACGATTTTATTTGTGGGATGATTTCAAAGTTTTTGAGATTGTCTTGTGTATTTGAAAGCCTGGATTTGGCTTGCGTTGGTTTAATATGCAGAATGTCTTTTTCAAAAAGAATTCATTGAAAACCTGAAAGGGCAGAAACCAAAATGATCAAAAAGGACCTGTTTAACCTAGAGGAGTATAGGAAGGGGTCAAGGGGAAGTGGTTAAGATGTGAGGATGGTGGAATGCTCTAACCATAGCCACTTGTGGTTTTCTAGCAAAATATAAAGAAATCACAGATTCACGCTTGAATTCCATCACGAATGACTTTTTTTCTGGAACATTCTCACCAAAATGCTTTTGTACGCTTGTAAACAATATAATGAGCTGTCAGACGAGTGGCTTAGAAATGATAGCAGTCTGAAGTTAGTTGCAGTTTTTTCACCACATCCTGTATATACATTTTGTCGCTTCATCGAAATCGAAATTGTACCAAAATTAGTATTATCTAGTACTTTTCGTGCACATAAGTGCAAATTTGGAAATCTAGCTTCATATCCCAATCCTACTCTCCGCCAGTGTTAATCTCAAGTTGCAGGATTCCAACTCCATCCATTCCGCCAAATTCGAATTGTACAGATTTAAGTACCGTTTACTACTTTTAGTATACATGAGTACAGACTTCTAAAACTTCCTCCTTACTTCGACCCTGCAGGCAGATTAAGTTCGAAAACGTCGGTCCACGTTTTCATATAGTCCCCATATAACGGTACCTCCCATATTCGATTTTATTAGATTTTAGAGATATTTTTTACCGGAATTTATTCAAAAATTCGTATTTAAAGTTCGTAATAGGTACTACAGCCTGTAACAAAAAATCGTGTATTCAGTCCATGTCTTCGTATAGCTCCCATATAACGATTCCCTATGTTCTCTCCGTCTACAGGTCTACAATTATGGCCCGATCCTCACGAAATTGAAAATGGAGGTGGGGTTAGGGTCAGAATAGAACCCTATTGTTTTTGGAGATGATTGCAAAATATTTAGGGGTTGGAATGGACCAAAAACAGAAAATTTTCCTGATTTTGCAGTTGCTCTGTAGGCCACAATTATGAACCAAACGACGCGTAAATTTACATGGAGTTAGAGTTTAGGATTCGATAGAAGCCTACCTAACTTTTATGTAAGAAAATAGGAAAATTTCCATTAAACCGCGAATATTTTTTAACCCCAGCCAAAGCACAAATACATTAAAAGGTCACTCCTGATCATTAAAGCGATGCTGATAGCCAAGAAATCGGATATATAGCAAAATAGGGACAATATATATGTAAAGGAAAGAGATCTTATTTATTCTGCTAATAATTCAAGAAACGCTGTGCCGATTTTCACAATTCCCCTCAATTCGGAATGGCCTCTGGCCAGAAAAAGAATAAAATCTAAGAAAATCGTGGAAAAATATACCAATAAATGAGTGAATATATTTTGTTCCATTTTTATACCCTACACCACAGGGTGGTCAGGGTATTATGTCTTTGTGCATTTGTTTGTAACAGGCAAAAGGAAACGAGATAGACCCATAGTTCCTTTTGATGATCTGCATAGAATCACTTTCTGAGTTGATTTATGCATGTCAGTCCGTCCGTCCGTCTGTCCATGCATTCTTGTGAACAAAATGCAGGTCGCATTTGTTATCCGATTGAGATGAAATTATCCAAACAACATTTGGCCCAGGACGAACCCCATTGAAATTGGAGATAATCGGTCAAAATTTAGATATAGCTCCCCTATATATCTTCGTCCGATTGGCCTTTTATTGTGCACCAAACGTGTAATATCAGCCCGAATAGTATGGAATTTTGCACATACAACCAAATTATGCCTGAAAATAAGTATGCCTGAAAATAAGTTCACATATAGCTATAGCTCCCATATATATTGTTCATCCGATTTGTTATTTTTGTCCTGCGCAGCCGTAATATGCACTCCGTAACAACGATATTTAGGGAAATATACAAAATGCAGCTCAGAAAAACATTTGCTAAATTTTAGCGAGATCGGTTCGGATTTGGATATAATTCTCATATATAACTTCGTCCGATTTACTTTTTTTTGTGATGGAATGGATGGAATTTGGCACGTACGACCGAATTGAGTTTAGAAGGTAGTATGCCAAATTTGATGAAGATCGGTTCAGATATAGCTATAGCTCCCATATATACTGTTCATCCGATTTGTTATATTTGTTACCCACAGCCGTAACATACATTCCGTAACAACGATATTCAGGGAAATATATAAAATAACAGCTCAGATATATCTTTGCCAAATTTTATCGAGATCGGTCCAGATTTGGATATAGCTTCCATATATATCTTTATCTGATTTCAAATTAATTTTGCACCAAAAGGGCAATACAAGTCCGAATTTAACTTTAAATTATAAACTTTGAACTTTAAATTATAATTATAATCATGGCGTGTATGATTGAATTCTCCCATAAAAACTTTTAATTGTTATGCGGAGCTCTACTAAATTAGCAAAGTGGTGTAGGGTATCATAAAGTCGGCCCGCCCGACTTTAAGATTTTTTTACAGGTTTCCTTTTAAAATTTGACTATTTTCTATGCTCACATAAAATTTTTTGTACTCTCTTTTCTCTTAGGCCCAACACGATCTAACCCTCTTTCAAAAAAAAAAAAAAAAAAAAAAACGTGTTCAAATTGCAATTCACAGAATTCCATGGATTCTGATTGCTGGCAACTTGCACATGCAAAGAGGAAAGCAGGTGGTATTTCCCATAAGAATTCGCAAATGTCTGCAACATAGCGTGGATGTCATAAATTTGTAGAGATTGTCTTTGGCTGGATAAGCTTCTCAATTTATTCGTGTATACCTGTCTAATGTTTAACAATATTAGTACAACGATTAAAGATAAAAGGATTGCCGAACATTGATCTCTTTATGACCAACCACCTTCTGGTTGCCATGGCGTCAACGAACAGGTAAATAAATAAATCTACTCAAAACCCCCCGAATAAATCCCAGCATTTCTACGCAGCTTTAGGAGCTGATGAATTTGTTTTGAAGACCAAAAGAAAGAACAAAAAACAACAACAATGCCGATGAATAGATGGATGGATGGATGAATGTATGAATGGCTGGAATTGAATGATGCTAAGCGCTGTTGTTATTCTCGTTGTTGCCACGGCTTTCCGACAAGTTAACTTGGCCTGCGTTCGTATTGTCGTTTGTCTACCTCAGTTATGAGCAAACCCACCTGCTGCTGCAGCTATCAATTCTGCTGCCGTTGCCACTGTCACTGCCTGTGCCATAAAATGTTGCTGCTGCCGCGCGCTTCGGCTGTTTTGCCGTTGGCAATGTAAAAATCAAAAGAATGTACAAGAAAATCGAAAGAAATGGCCGCATTACTAGACCATTGGTAATAGTGGACAATTCAGTTTGGTAAGAGCTTTCGTTGGCACAGCACCGCACAAGACGCTCGCCCGCAAAAGAAAGGAATACGCGCCGTGAAAACTGAAAAAATAAAAAAGAATACACAAAAAAAGATATTTAATTGCCAAGAAAAAAAAAAAGTTAATTGATTTTCTTTCAAATCAAAATAATACAATAATAATAAAAAAGAAGGTATTAAATAATATATAATTTTTCAAATAAATATGTGTGTTTTTGTTACAAAAATAAATGTGAGAACAAGAAAAGAATGAATAAACTAAGGGAAAACAGAAAATTGCAGCCCTAACTACATGATGTTGGTGTTAAAGTGACTATTGCATTTTGAAACGGAAAATAAATTTCGTATAATATTTAAAGAAAAAAAAAAAAAATAATAATAATAATACGAAATAAAGATTGTGTCAATTTCCAGGAACAGCGATCAATTGCTTAACAAATTCCGCTTTCATAGAAACAAATTTCTAGAAACTTACAGTGTTGCTAATAATTGAGTGTCACTTTCACCTGACCAAAAGGACATAAGAAGAGACTATAGCTTTGGATACAAAAACAATTGATTTTTAATTCCAAATTTTAAGGAAAGTTGCAGTTGCAATTTAAATAATAAGTTGCCTCCTAATTAGGAAATATTGCGAGGATATACCCGTCGTAAATATAATTATATCCTCAGCCACATGGCTAGAGAGGGTATATATCATTTCATATGGTAAAAACATGACTCATCGACATAACGGTTTTATACCCTAGGTGTCTTTAGACCAAATCCGGTTCAGGACATTTTGAGTCGATCTAGCGATCGACGTCCGCATGTCAAACTGGTGCGCACGATAATTCTCGAAGGGAGTATCCGATTTGGTCCAAACTTGGTACATCGTAATATTTTTATCAATATTTAGATCGAATTCGGAGATGGGCAATATCGATCCACACCATTTTGGTACCTCCTCCACGAAATATCGGAATTTTCAAAAAAAAAAAAAGACAAGTTCGGCCGGCCGATCTACACCTTTTGGTACCTCCTCCACAAAATATCGGAATTTAAAAAAAAAAAACAAGAAACAATAAACAAGTTCGGCCATTTCGAAGGAAATTGAAAAATTTCAAGAAAAAAAAAATCCGAAAACTACCACTTAAATGAAAACCCTCATATGGGGGGCTACACGAAGATGTGGACCTGCATACAACATTTTTTGTCATAGGCTGTAGTACCCATTACGAACTTCATATATGAAATTTTAAATAATTTCGGCAAATGTGAACCAAAACGATTATAAAATTCGAAATAAGCATCCGGTTCTCTTCATATTTCACACAAACCCCTTATTTTTACTAACACAAGATCTGCTGTGAAAGAGGGATATATCGACGGATATAAATGTACGATTTCCAATATTTTTATCTGTTTTAGATGGTGTGGAATATTTCGGTCCGCCATATCTGGTACGTCACGCATATTTCCATATTTTTCCAAAAATTTACACACATCTCAAAGGAAATGGACGATATAGTCCAAATATGGCACGTTGTAATATTTATGTCAGACTTTGGTCAGATACGAATTGGACAATATTGGCCAACTGCTTGGGAACTTTCTTCAATAAAGGGTCAACAGTTAGAATAATTAGAAATCAAGGCTGGGGGTATACACTTGTCGGCAAAACCGAGTGATGTTGTATTTTCTTTGTATTAAGAGTTCATATCCGACCAGAATAAAAACTGCCAAATTTGGACCAAATCGATTTAGACATAGCCAAGACGTCTTTACATATGTTTCATGCACCTATTACATATATTTAAGCTTCAAAATCAAGGTCGTAATATGAACAAGAGTATTTCATACGAGATGGTTTAAATACAGCAAAGACAGGTAAAACGCAACTAAGTTATGCCGCGCCGAACTTTAAGTTTCCTCCACCATTTTGAAGGAACTTGAAAAATTGCAAAAAATTCCGTAGAAAAAAAACCTCTCAAATGCATATGGGACCCATATGAAGACGTGGTCCTTCATAAGTATTTTTTTGTTTGTCATAAACTGTAATTCCGATTCTGAACCTCAAATACGAAATTTGAAGCAATTCCGGTTAAAAAATTTCGCTAATATCATCAAGATACCGAATATCGGGGGTACAGTTATGTGGGAGCTATAGGATATGGTGGATCTATGTAGACAATCCTCTACTCAACTACTCAGAAGGAACTTCTTGTGTGGATTTTCAGACAATTCCTTAGAAAAATTTGGTAACAATCATCAAAATATCGAATATTTGACTACAATCATCAAACTACCAAATATCGGGAGGTACCGTTATACGGGAGATATACGATATCGTGGACAATTCTCTTCCAGGGGGTAAAGTACTCAAAAGGAACTCCTTGTGTGGATTTTCAAACAATTCAATAGAAAAATTTGGCCACAAGTATCAAAATACCGAATATCGGGAGGTAACGTTATATAGAGGGTATACAATATAGTGGACCTATATGGATAATTCTTTTCCAGGGGACAAACTACTCAGAAGGAACTTCTTGTGTCTATTTTCAGACAATTCAATAGAAAAATTTGGTTACAATCTTCAAAATATCGAACATTGGGAGGTACCGTTATATGGGAGATATACGATATCGTGGACCTATATGGATAATTCTCTTCCAGGGCACAAACTACTCAGAAGGAACTTCTTGTGTCTATTTTCAGGCAATTCAATAGAAAAATTTGGCTACAATCATCAAAATACCGAATATCGTCGTGGATCGATATAGTCCATCTTCGAACTTGATGTGAAGCGAGCGCAAAATCAGGAAAATATTTTTTTTTGGTCCATTTGAACCCCTAGATATATGTATATATATATATGCGATAGCTTGGATATGTATTTGTGATTTCGCCAGGATTAAAAATTTTCGTCGCTAAATATGGTCCGATGACCATCCAAATTGGTACGCTTTTGCTCAGTCTGATTTTTCAAACAAAAGACTTAAGACAAAAACTTGCAGTGGTTTCCGAGAGGAATTCTAATTTTCAACTAAGTATTTTAGAATACATAATCGAATTTTTAAACCGAAACTTAATATGAGAAAGCTTAATCGTGATTTCGACAGACAAAGTGATTGAATGGTGTCTCCGAAAAATATTTCCAATCTTAACGTGTCCTCAATTTAATTTTGAATTTATAACCAATTTTTTTTTTTTTTTGGAAATCCTAGCTACTTACAAATTAACCGATTGCTCAGTGCAGACGATACTCATCACTTGGTAATTGGGGAAATATGTACTTTTATCTTGTAATTTTTTTGCTCATCCATAATTTTTTTTTAGCCAGTAAAAGTAGGAAAAAGTACTTATTTTACCTGTAGAATCCACTTTTTTATTCTGCACGAAGATCTTGAAATTTTCTGATTTGTTGTTAAACACAAGAATACAAACATTAAGTCGTACATATCGGTGTCTTTCCATGCACTGTGTCGTAAGAATAAACCAATACATTTCTCTCTTTACCAATGTCAGTCGTTGTTTAACAAGGGGACTTTACATTCCCATAAAATCTCTCTCTCTCTCTCTCTCTCTCTCTCTCTCTTAATTTTTGGACACTGATGATCAGGGCTACCATTAATACCAATTTTTCGGCATTTTGACGATTTTTCACTCTAAAAATGGAGAATGCCGTTATGTCGATATTTGCCTCAAAAATGACGATAGTTTAACCAACGACACAAATTGTCTCACATTTTCATTTAAATGGCTTTGAACGCTAGAGTCCAGTAGACAAATCTTACTTTTTTTTAGAGCTCCTAATCCAATACATCTCATAGTGGTAAGAGTGTTATGTGTTTGTGAATTTGTTTGTGACATGGAGAAGGAAGCCAGATTGGCCCACAGTTACTTTTGAGGATCTTCATAGAATCACTGCTGAGTCGATTTTTGCATGTCAGTCCGTCCGTCCATTCGTCAATGTATTTTTTTTTTTAAACAAAATGCAGGTTGAATTTATTATCCGATTTAGATGAAATTTTCCAAACAATAAATATAACTTCCATATATATCTTCAACCGCTTTCGGATCCAAATGACCTAAATTTTGGCACATCCGACTGAATTCAGTCTGGAAGCAAGTACATCATATTTGGTGAGAATCGTTTCAGACAAAGCTATAGCTCCCATATATATGTTTTATCCGATTTTGTTGTAAAAGTCCCTCACCTTCGTAATATGCATTCGACAACAATGATATTTGGTACCAGATATCTTATAGAGCTCGAAAGTACCATTAGCCAAATTTTATCGAGATCGGCTAATATTTGGCTATAGCTCCCATATATATCCTTAATCTAATTTCAGGTTTTTTTGTGCAAATAATGACTAATATCAGTGAATTTCGGGACGTACGTTCCCATTTGGTGGAACTCGGCTGCGATATATATTTATACCCTCCACCTTTGGAAAGGAGGTTATATTAACTTTGCCATTCCGTTTGTAACATCCTTAAATATTCGTCGTATACCCCATAAAGTAGATATATTCATAATCAGCATAAAATTCTAAGTCGATTTAACGATGTCCGTCCGTCCGTCTGTCTGTCCGTCTGTCTGTCCGTCTGTCTGTCTGTTGAAATCTCGATAAAGCCCAGCCCACATTATTTGACGTAGAGCGTCAAAATTTAGCAGAACATTTTGTATTGTGATTAGGATGGTTGGTATTGAAAATGTGATATATCGGTCCACATTTTGGTATAGCCCCCATATAACGGTACCTCCCGATTTTTGGTATTTTGATAATTTTTGCCACATTTTTTCACGGATTTGTCAGAAAATTGGTAATTGTTGGTCATAATGGGTCCTAGTTCGTGTGGCGAAGTATTGTATGTATGGGTCCACGTTTTGGTATAGCCCCCATATAACGGTACCTCCCGATTTTTGGTATTTTGATGATTTTTGCCACATTTTCCCACGAATATGTCTAAAAATTGGTATTTGAAGGTCATAATGGGTCCTAGTTCGTGTGGCGAAGTATTGCATGTATAGGTCCTCGTTTTTGTATAGCCCCCATATAACGGTACCTCCCGATATTCGGTATTGTGATGATTTTTGCCACATTTCTTCGCGGATTTGTCTAAAAATTGGTACCTCCCGATTTTTGGTATTTTGATGATTTTTGCCACATTTTTTTTACGGATT